CCGACTTCGAAATGCACTAAAAAGTATAAAATAATTTCTATTTCCTAATGAAGTAATTTCTATTTCATTCAAACATACAATTACGTAACAGATATGAATGAAACCTATTTACTCGTTAGGTAGTATATTAAATACATTTCAACCTTTTCGGAGGCGGCGCATAATTAAAAATACCTCAGTAAACGTTGCTGCCAATAACTAGTTGATTGTGGTATGACGTATTGAAAATTAATAAATCCTGAGAAGGAATACGAACCATTATAGATATATCTGGTAATATACGTAAATGTAACGACTACATCTTCATTTCGCAACGTTTCTGATATAAATGAAATTGAATCGACTTCGTTCGCATATGGAAACCATGGATCTAAGAACCTATAAACGGTGCCCACGACGCGGGAATTACCAAATTTGCGGCAGATGGGCTCTATCTTTATAGCATATGCGGCAATCGAGTCTTTCCGTTGCATACTCTATGAATCTAGGTAGACTATAGTTACATTCTATACGCACTAACACCTACTTCGCGGCGTGCTGTCGAGTGATATGTATAGAAAAAAAATAGCTATACAAGCTTTACCTATGTTCGGCTGTCCAAAGGTTGACATGTTCAAGAAAATCTTTTAATTTTGCGCCGCCTCCGAAAAGGTTGAAATGTATTTAATATACTACCTAACGAGTAAATAGGTTTCATTCATATCTGTTACGTAATTGTATGTTTGAATGAAATAGAAATTACTTCATTAGGAAATAGAAATTATTTTATACTTTTTAATGCATTTCGAAGTCGGCGTATTTTTTTTCTTAAAATTATTTTATCTTGGTTTACTGTGAGTAGAACTCCTTTCGTTTGGTTTAGGTTTGCAATGTAAGGACCTGCAGTTTTTTTTCTTTCGAGTATAACTTGATCTTACAAGGGAACGTATCCAACTCCGACACGCCGATTTTGGTGAAACTTATGTGAGATATAGTTCTCAAAAAAATATTTGACACGTATTTTTTTTTATCGGCAATCGTGCATATTGAAGGGGTGAAAATAGCCCTCGAAGTTGGGGGTGGGAATTGATATTTTTGGGAATATTTCCGGAATTAAAGAAGATAATTGGATTCTTTTTTTTTTTGTAAATGGTTGGTCTTTTAATAGGCAATTTTTGTGCGAAAAAAAATTTCAGGAAACATTATTTGTTTAAATAATATTTTGAAAATGTACAATTTTTGTTTAAATTTTTGCATTAAATGTTGATTTATTTTTTGCAACTCTGTGTACGTGAACTATAGACAAAAATAGGGGATACGTGTTTTTGGAATTTGTTGTTTGTTGCAATGTTTATTAGATATATAATTTAACATTATCTTCTGTGAAGAGGGGCAATCATCATTTTTATTAAAAATATCATTATTTTTACAATCTTTTACATTATTTTAGCGATTTTATACCTCTTCATATGCCGTTAATTGATTTCTTAATAATTATTGTATGCGTTGCAGGTATGAGCGTGACGCGGTTATGATCAACGCCGCGCCGTAAGGAACATAGGCTTTTATGGCCAATA